TCGTGCTATACTGTGCTTTCTTGCGAGGCGGCCCAAACTGCTGGAAGCTGATTGATGAAGAAAGATGGTGTTCCAAAGTGCATCCAATTAGGACTGTGATGAAAGGACGATCATCAATCCGCTGGTGTGTGAGATCATCAGTTTCCACCGACCCAGCTGCACGCAGATGTCCGGTCATAGTTCTCAGGCGGAACGCCTCCCTTTGAGCTTCCAACTCATGGCATGGGTTGGAGGCCATCGCTGGTAGTTCGGAGGATATAGTGTGCTAGGCCCACGTGCGTGGCGCACCCCTTGAACTGCCAGGCTGGGGAAGCAAATCCCCAGGCACGTGATTGAAGGCGTCGCAGGCAGCAGATTTGGAGGTAGGGCGTAAGATGGAGTAAGGTAAAAGAGGGGGTGCCAGAGTCACTGCAGTACTTTTTGTTGGTGAATCGAGTATATGCGGCATTCGAAGGGTTCTCGTTCAACTCTGAGGGTGCAGGGGTAGCATGGTAGAGCTGTGTTCGCGCGAGGTTTGCTTTCGTGCCTGCAACTGTTTGGATGTGATCGATAAGACCCTTCCATTGGGGGAGGACTTGGAGGTCTTGGATGGAAGCATGAAGTGTCAGACTCATGTGAAATAGCGTCGAAACCTACCGTGTCCAAGTGTGAAGGATGATTTTGCTGCGCAGGTGCAGTGTTTCGTGAGTTCAGCTTTGCCATTTGGCGTTCTCAGGGTTGTCGTTTTGGAGGTGTGGCATGTCACTGTGCTATTGACATGTGCTCTTGAAACACTGCCTTGAAGTTGCGTTTTTGTGGTCTCAGATAACAAACACTTTGAGGGAGCTGGGTGAAGCATGTATCGTTCCAATGGTAGTGAGGGGCACAAATTGTGTTTGACACGTCAAGGTGTGGCACGGCGTCACTTTCGGCAGGCACAGTACTTTGTGCATGTTGGAGGTGCTGGGGTGCAGTGTGTGTGGCAGGTGCAGGGAATCATGAGGTTGCATGTGGCTGTCAAGTCACTCCACACGCAGCGAGCATAGAATACAGCTCGGCACTGCACAAAGGCAAAAGTGTTTGACGATGCTAAAAGAAATTTCTAAATGCCCTCATTAAACTCAAAGCTGGCCCATTCGATCCCGCATAAAAACAATTGTTTCCTAAGTCAACAATCATTTGATCGCACTCGACCCCCCCTTTTTTTCTACGGTAACGCCAAGTCCCGCAAATCAACGGCCACATTGCACACATTGTTTCACAACATAGTGCTTCCCAAACTCTGTTTTTGGTGCTCAAAAAAAAGTTGCCAATAGACAACTCATATTCCTACGACACATCCCAACCAATGTCCTCACGCAATTCGCCTAGACTGCCTTCTTTCACATTTGGCAGGTCTTTCAAAGTCTGGTTCAGGTGGATTCCATAGTATCGTGACCAGTTGGCACGTGGAGTTGAGGGACTGCGAGGATGAGTGAAGGTTCGGATCAGGCTGGAAATATAAATTGTCGTGTGTTCCTTGAGACTCCAAGGGTAAAATTCGACAAGTTGCACGGCTTGGCAGGCCTTTTGCAAAAAGCATTGTTGGCCAATCAGCATCCAAATGGCCTTGTTCCAGATGCAATCGACATCACCTTGGCGCCGTTTCAAGACAAAAAGAGCCTCCGTGACAGATCCTGTGTTCAACCCTGCTCAGACAATGTTAGAAAGTTCATCAAGATGTCTAAGCATTTGCAGTGATCCAAGACCTTTCAAGATCCTCACTTTTTCTGACTCAGACAAGACACACACTAGTACGATAAAGCCACTCATGGCCAAAACACCCTTGGTTGACCCGATTGGCTGATTGGCCGGCTTGAGAGGACGAGAGGTGAATGTGAGCGTATGTGAGAGGCCTCCCTTAGGGCAGTTTCTCGCATCACTGCTACTAGTAGCGATGCCCTTTGCTCCTAGTAGCGTCCATGCTACTGGCGCCGTTAGTAGTTTCTTGCTCCTAGGAGCGATGCCCTTTGTTGCTTCTTTGTTTTGTGTCTCGAACAAGTCTAGCCGAGTAGTTTTCCGTTGCTCAGGCACCTTAAACGAGAGGTTGTCAAGCTTGGTTGTAGAATGCAACATGATAAGTGTGCCCATTGACAGTGCCGGTGATCCATTGGTCATGGTGAACAACACCCATGGTTTGCACCCTACTTGAGTCTTGTAGATACCTGAGCTCATGCCAAATACAATAAATATGCATGAAGAGCAAATGCTATGACCAGTCCGACCCAAAGACAGAAACCTCCAGAAGGGCTCTGAGCTGAGGAGATGGAAGACTTGCGAAAGAACCTGGAGCTCATTTGGATCCATTCCGGTGATGCTCACAGGGCCCCTCGCTGGCAGCGCCGGTCGAGCAAGACACAGCCATCAACAGAGACGCGTACGAAACGGTCGGGACCAGGAGTGGCCTTTCGCCCCTTCTTGCTCCTAGTCGCGATGCCCTTGTTACTAGTAGCAAACATTGCTCCTAGTAGTACGGCCAGGAGCCCCTAGTAGCGTCCTTGCTCCTAGT